CAATCGTATTTACTCGCCTAGATCTCGAAGATCTAACGCCACTAGGCTGGAGGCTTTCATTTCCCAAAATTTTACTCGATATTTGATAGCATAAGTGCTGCATTATACTAAGATTATTATTATTATTTCAAATGGCAGGCTTTGTGATATTTATTATAAGCCCTTAAACTTTGACTTCAGCTTCCCCCAAGGGTGGGGGTACATTTATAGCAGTTAATTAATAACAATTCATTAGCTGTCCTCTTGCTTAGCGGTATCTCTGGTTTTCGGTCGTTGCCTTTAGGGCTGGACACCGAATCAGGTGGGTCTACTCCATTTCCTCCTGTAGGTTACATAGAGGGCATGTGGGTTGAGTGCAAACTTCCAATCTGTGAAGGTGTTTTGCCAAACAATCGTGTCCGGTACGTAGTCTAAACTCAGCAACGGCTTCGATTCTTGGCCAGTCCGGTAAGTAGGAGATCGCCACTGTCCACTGTTTCTCTTTGGTTCGAGCTTTAAGTTCGCTGCACCGTGGTCTGGAATTCTCTTCTGTTTAAGGCCTTCATTGTGTTGAAAGTCACCAGCCGGTCCAAGCATTGCAAAATCGTTATCCAAGTAAGCTTATTGCCTTAAATGCCACAGTGACAAGAAAATCATTGTAGAACCACTGTTTGGTTTACCTCTCTCAGCTTCACGGTCGCCACGGTCGCAACCCACCCGCATCCACCGATAAGGCCACGACTACTCAACAAACACCAACCTCCTCCTCCGCCTCTGCTACAACCAACACTCCTGCATAGAAAATACGTACTTAGCTCGGCACTGTGCATTGAAGAAGAGATGACTCAACTCAACACCACTCTACACTTCACTCCACTTCCTCGCGCCACTTCCCAGCTCCATTATTCCACATTATGTCACAATTGTGACTCAGCATCTAGGCTACAAGGTTACAACACCATTACCCACATCACTCTGGCCTCTGCTGACTGTTTATGTCTTCCGTGCATTCCTCAGTCAGCTCTTGCGTGTCCATATGCTTTCCAAGAGGAGATTTAGTGGTTACCACATTTAGCACATATGGGGTGAGTGATAGACTCACCTCCACGTGGTGCACTCTGGGCAACGTATACTCATACAGAAAAAAGTCTATTTACTGGCAGCTGACTTCTGACTTCAAACTACCATGACCCCACGCTATGCCATATTCCCCCCCACTTTTCTTTGCCTTTGTGCCTGTCTGTCTCTTTTACAACCATGAATCACTGTTCTGTTCTCCACTCCTCGAA